GAGTTTAGGGCTGTTGTACATAGGGTCGCTATAAGCCGCAGGCGACTCGACGGCACATAACAAACAACAACAACAACAGGTGACATCCTGCTCAAACAGAGCAGGGTATGAAGATACTTTAGACGAAACAATGAAAGGACTAATATAATTTCTATATCATATTATTTCCCATCAAAGTTCAACAGCTCCTTGAATCAAACTCCTGTCAATACATTTCATCACTGTGTTGCTGCTGTTGTTATGTGCCCTTGAGTTGCCTGCGACTCATAGCGACCTGATGTACAATAGCTCTGAACCCTGTCCAATCTCACTGTCTCCAATACACCTGCCCCTATTACTACAGTCACTGTGTTAATCTATCTCATCTAGGGTCTTCTTCTCCTGTGTTGTCCCTCCACATTTCCAAACATGATGTCCTTTTCCAAGGACTGGTACCTCTTGGCAATATGCCAGCTTTTGTGAGACAGAACTTCAAAATCCTTGTCTCCAGACAGCAAGTTGGTTTCTTTCTAGAACAGACCTTTTTGTTCTTTTGGAAGTCCATGTTATATTCAATACTCTTCTCCAGCACTATAATTCAAATATATCAATTCTTTTTCTGTCATTCTTAGTCATTGTCCATCTCTTTTATGCATGGCATATAACTGTGAAGGCCATGGCCTGGGTCAGGCACACCTTGGTCTCTAGACCGACAACATTGCTCTTCAGTACTTGGGTGAGAACCCTGACAGCAGACTTTCTCAATCCAATTAAACTCTTGATTTCCTGGCTGCTGGTTCCAAGAGTGTTGATTTTAGACTCGACCAAGTTGAAATTGTTGACAATTTCAATCTCTTCTCCATCTATCATGATGTTGCCAACTACTCCAGTGGTGAGAATCTTTGTTTACCCCATGTTGCGCTTCAATCCATATAGAAAACAGCAGTCCTTGACTTTCTGCAGAAGATGCTTCTGGTCCCACTCAGTTTCAGTGAGCAAGCTGTTGATGAGCCACATTGCTCCTCATAAAAATCAGTCTCCTGAATGATCAGTTTCACCTATAGAATGAAAAGCCATGGAGACAGAATACATCCCTGATGCACTCCTTTCCTGGTTTTGAACCATACAGTGTGTCTTTGCTCTATTCTGTTGACTGCCTCCTGGTCCAAATATATGTTTCATATGAGCATCATCAGGTGTTCTGGGATTCGCATTCTTCCCAATGTTAGCAACAGTTTTTTTGTGATCCACAGTCAAATAGTTTGGTGTAGTCAATGAAACATAGGTAGACATTCTTTTAGTATTCTCTGCTTTCAGCCAAGGTCCATCTGATACTGGCATTGGTGTCCTTTGTGCCACAGCCTCTCCTAAATCTAGCTTGTATTTCTGGTAGTATTCTGTTGATTTCAGTCATTTTTGGATACTCTTCAGCAAGATTGTGCTTGCATGTGTTACTAGCGATATTGAAGCTAAAGAAAATGAAATCAAATCCTCAAAATCCAAAATCTGACCTTGAGTCTATCTCACTTGAATTTAAAAACCATCTCAACAATAGGTTTGATGGCCTTGCATACTAATAATGAGAACAGATGAGCTGTGGTAGGATATCAAGAATATCATCCATGATGAACACTTAACACTATAGACAAAGACATATGAAAAGGTCAGTCTTTCTTGCCATGCTCACTGAGAGGAATGATGCATCTAGGGGTAGAAGAAGAGGAAGCAGAGCACAAGTAGATATCAGGTAATGATTCCCTTAGAAAGAAGCTATGCCAACAGTTGATAAAGTGCCATCAAGGACTATTATGAGAAATGAGGAGTCTCCTTGCCTTTCAGGTCTTGTATGTAGCCATCTTTGCAATTATGCATGAGCTGAAGGATCCACTTGTGCTGGGCTCCAATACACTGCCAAGCAGGGTCACCAGGCGCATGGAGGTCAGACAGGTACCTGGAAAAGAAGTCCAAGGTAGAGAATCACAATGAAGTGGAAAGAAAAAAGGATGAGTGAGCCTACTTTAAAATTACACTTGAAGGAAATCTACATGTCTATTAAATACTATTGGAAGCAGGAATGGCATCCACTTCCTAAACAACATGCCTCCAGAAACTCTGAACTTTGGTAAATGATGATAGTTATAAAAAGGCTTTAGGCTTTTTGTTCATAGGGTTGCTATGAGTCGTGCTCAATTCAAAGGCAATCAACAACAACACAACAACATTAAATATTAGAGCATTACTAGTCTTTAGTATTTAGTTCTTAGTGAAATTAATTCTAATTTCTTCTCATGCAATTAGCATATAATAAGAAACTGTACTAAAAGAAAAGTTAAGGACTTTCTACAAGGATAACCAAGATGACAAATTGTTCTATACACAGTCGTACCTACCAAGGGTTAGTATTCTGTTTACACTTAGCTCAGTATTTCCATTCAGTTGTTGTTGGGTGACAGTGGGTCAACCATGACTCACAGCAACCCAGTGCACAAGCGATCTGCACCCTGTGCTGTTGTGCATTGTCTTCAGGGTCTCCACCATGCTCGCGCCCATGTTTAGGGTCACGGTGTCACTCCATCTTGTTGAGAGCCTCCATCTCCTTCCCCTCACCTGCTACTCTTCTCAGCATAATGTCAGAGGTCCTAACTAAATAACTGTTGTTTGTTATGAGCCATGAGTCAGATCCAATGCATAGCTGACGCTCCAGTGGGTTTTCAAAGGCTGTAAATCACACAGGAGGAAATTGCCCATCTTTCTCCCATGGAGTGTGTGTGAGTATGTGTGTGTGTATGTATATACTGTTGATGTTGAGTACCACTGAGTCAGAACCGACCCATAGCTGACCCTCCAACAGGTTTTTAGAGGCAGTAAACTGCATGGGAGGAAACTGCACATCTTTCTCTTGTGGAACAGGTGGTGGAGTCACACCATGTACCATTGTGTTGGAAGCACAATTCCTTACCACTAAGCCACCAGTGTCTTAAGGACTGCTCCGTGGAGACAAAGGTGATAAAGCTTTATCTCATATACTTTGGGCACATTGCTAGAAAAGGTTATTCCTTGGAGAGGGACATCATGCTTGGAAAAGTGGAGAGACACTGAAGAAAAGGAAGGTCCTCAACCAAGTAGACTGACACAGTGACTGTAGCAAAGGGCTTGAGTGTGTCAGAGACTGTGAGGATGGCACAGGATAGGACAGGGTTGAGAGTTGTTGTTTATGGGGTCACTGTAAGTTGTACTCAATTTGATGGCACCTAAGAACAACAAAAAGGCACCAGAGCTCTCTGAATCCTTCCCTGTCCTGAACCTGTCTCACTAATTCCGACACACCAACCCTCATTGCCCCAGTCACTCTATCAATCCACTTCATCCGTAGTCTTCCTCTCCCGTGCTGTCAGTCCACCATTGTAGCATAATATCCTTCTCTAAGGACTGATCTCCCCTGGCCATGTTCTGAAAGCGAGGCAAAGCTTCAAAATCCTAGACTTCAAGGACAGACTTGGTTTTATCCTCTCCAAGACAGATTGATTTGTTTTCTTGGCAGTCCATAGTATGTTCAAGACTCGGCTCCAGCACCACAACTCGAAGACATCTATTCTTCTGTTATCCTTAGTTATTGTCCAGTTCTCTGAAACATAACAAGTAATTGAGAAGACCATGGCCTGGATTAGGCAAACTTTTGTATCTGGACCGACATTGTTGCTCTTTAGTACTCTGGAGAGCTCCATGACAGCAGATATTCCCAATGCGATTCACCTTTTGATTTCCTAACTGCTGGTGTTAAGACTATTGACTGTAGATCCAAGCAAGCTGTAGCTGCTAACAACCTCAATCTCTTCTGCATCTATTATGGTGCTGCCCATTGGCCCAGTGGTGAGAATCTTTGTCTTCTTGATGTTGAGCTTTAATCCATATTGAAGACTACAGTCCTTGACTTATTGCAGCATGTGCTTCAGGTCTTCTTCAGTGTTAGCAAGCAAGGTTGTGTTATCTGCATATCACAGGTTGTTAATGAGTCTTCCTCCAATCTTGATGCTACACTCATCCTCATAAAGTCTTGCTTCCTGAATAATCTGCTCCGCAGACAGATTGAAAACGTATAGGGACAGGATGCATCCCTGACACACTTCTTTCCTGATTTTGAACTATGCAGTGTTTTCTTGCTCTGTTCTGAGAACTGCTTCCTTTTCCAAGTATAGGTTTCATATAATCATGATCAAGTGTTCTGAGATTCCCATTCTCCTCAAGGTTAGCCACAATTTACTGTGATCCACACAGTCAAATGTCTTTGCATAGTCAATGAAAGCCAGAGGGACACTTCCATTATGAAAAATGGTCACTAGATGGCAGTGTAACACTGTCTTCTATAACAATCTAACGGGAGAAAAACTAAAGCCCTATAGCACTGCAATCCCAAAGCCCAGTGGTTCAAATCTACCAGCTGCTCCAAAGGAATAGGATGGCAATCTCCTCTGGTGTAATGTACTGTCTCTGAAAACTCGCTGAAGGGTTGGTTATGGGTCAGTTCCCATTCAATAGCACACAACCACCACTGACGTAACTACTCTACAGCACACCTCATGCCTCATAGACTTCAGAAGCCTCATCTTTCTCCCTCCAAGTGCATGGTAGAGTCAAGCCACGAACTCCTTAACCTACTATATACCATCAGAGTTCCTTAATCTGAGTATGTTGTGTGCCACTGAGCTGGGACAAATTCATAGCTGTGGGGCAGCTAAAATTTAACCAAGCCAGTCAGTTGATTCTGACTCACAGTATACAGAGCAGAACTGCTCCACAGTGCTTCCAAGGCTGTAAATCTGTATAGAAGTAGACAGGCACATTTTTCTCCTACAGAATAGCTGGTAGGTTTGAACTGCCAACTTTAGGATTAGAAGTCATACACTTCACCACTGAGCCACCTGGACTCCTTAACTGAAATTTTGTTCCCCTTATTTATTTGATGAGATTTAATGATAACACACCTGTAAAATTCAGATTCTAATTTTTGTCTTTTTGAGAAGATAGTTCTCTAGAAAATATGTTAATATAAATATTATTCTTTATTTTTAATAGTTCTTAAAATAATCTTCTTTGTACATAAATATCCAAAGCTAGATAAGTGATTAAAATATATTTAAAGGGAAAAATTATGTCAAATATTAAAGATTTAGTCCTTGGTCATCACAAAATACATAAATATGACAAGTTAAATATAATTAAATAAACCCCTTAAAATATATTTCGCTCAGTTTACTGTTCTAAAATTCACGTGAAATAAGCTTTACATTATCCTGAGCTAGAGATTTTTGTTCAATGACTGATTGTAATTAACGTTTCTAAATTGTGAATCCTGGCCATATCTTAATCATTCAGTGATATGCATAATTCTTTTTTCCACACAGAGGAAGGAATACACATTTCATTATTCACGTATTCAGTTAGCACTAATTAAGAAAGAAATAAGTTCATTAGCAACTAATAAGATTTTGAGAAGAAATCTTTCCCAAGTCAAGTCTCGAGCCAACCTTGGGTCTGAGGCAAGTTGGGCATCTGATCAACCTGAAAGACCTCCTGCACAGCCTGGCTCACAGTGCTGAGGGGCAAGTCTCTCGGCTGAGGGTGGCTCTCTAAGAAAGTCTATGGACAGGTCACAGACAGGTTCTATACTAAGAGGATAAATTTACTACAAGAAAAATCTTTACTCAGATCAAGAAGTCACACCATAACAGGCTGGCTGTACATAGAGTAACAACTGAGAAGAAAATGAAACTGAGCCTGACTGGGAATTTATTTCAAAGCTTTCAAGTTCCAGTATGATTTTTCTGCCATGCTCTTACCTAGATTATGACAACAAGCACAGCATGTCTTTTCTTCACCAAGACCACACCACTTTATTTCTTTTTTTCTTGCTGGAAATACTTTGAGCCTTTGCCCTCTATAGACTTGCTTTGCCTCCAAATACATCTGCAGTATATTCTCCTCACACCTTCACTTATTTTAGTAGGAATATTATCAGGTTCTCGTAGGACAGCTACTGTTTTGGTTTGAAACCACTAAGTTTAAAGATTAACTATTACTAGCATCCTCAAACAATAGGGCAAGAGAAATCTCTTTGTCCCTTCAGTGTGTTGATAAGATCCCTGCAAAATTTAATTGCTGCCCTTTTTATCATTAGATCAAGAGTTGCTTAAGGAAAGAGAAATTTCAGAAATTCTACCCAGGTTTTCTGTTCAAAAGTGCAACAATAGAGCCTCGGCTTTTTTGGTTAAATGATGACTAAGTGCACTAAGTTGCTTCTTTTCTTTTAGTGTGTAGCTTCAAAAAGAAATTTTATTTTCAAGATTTTTGTTTAAAATTGCAAATACTCTTGTTATTTTAGTTGTGTATCAAAGGACATTTTATTTAAAAAGTTTCTATAGAGGAAAATGAAGATAAAGAATACCATAAGCTCAGTAAAGTTTAATCACATTCAAACATAATTTTTTCAAGTCAGAGACTTATCACAATAGATTTCAAAAGCCAGATATCTGACCTACATTAACACTTTGCCATTGAGTCAGAACCAATTCATAACTGCCCCTCCAGACAGTTTCAGGAAAGAGAATGCCTATCTTCCTGACAAGGAGCTGCTGGAGGATTCAAAGCTCCAGAGAGGTGTCACCTTTGGGTTAGGAAAACAACTCCCAAAAGACCACACCATCAGAGCTCCCCATCTGACCTTTATCACTTCTATATTTATTCAAATAATGTCTACATTAGTTTGATGCCTAAGCATCAAAAGATTCACCTCCATCAGTTACTTCTTCAGAAAGAAACAAGCAATCTTTTCTTCTGTGACTTACAGTGTCAGAAACCCTACAGAGGTCATTCAAGATAAGGTGCAGATGATGCACAGTAACAGCAAAGATGAGTATTACAAATAGTTTCAACACAGCTGCTAAAAGCCCTCAGCAACACAAGAGTTCCCTCCGCATCTTCCAACATTACCAGGAGCAGGGTACCGGGGTGAGCCCCATCCTCCACAACCCCAAAGGCAGGGTACACTCATTGCTACACTTCCTTCCACTTGGAAAAATATTTCTAATCACCTGGTGACTAGAGCCAAAAGCATAAACACATCATCTACTAACTCTATTCAATAAGCCTTGCTAACAGAGAAGCTATTTAGCAGAAAGTTGGAGGCCATTATGCTTGGAAAATAACAGCTAGTTCTGAAAACAAAGGTTACATGCAAACATTCTAACAGAAAATAAATTATTATTTTTTATCATGGATATGAAAACGATTATGTTTTCATTACCTCATGATATAAACACTATCACCGTTGTGGTCTCCCACATTGACATTCTCATCTCTATCTGTTCTATGGTCTCCCACAGAGCCATGCTCATCTCACCATACTCTATGGTTTATAGTCTCTCACCCTGTCACGGTCATCTCATGATTCTTTAAAGTTTTCTAATCTGTCATGGTCATCTCACCATGCTCTATGGCTTCTCACCTCGCCATGCTCACCTCACCATGGTCTATGGTCTCTCACTCCACCATGCTCATTTCACCGTGCTCTACAGTCCATGGCATCCCACCCTGCCATGCTCACCTCCTCATGTTCTATGGTTCACGGCTTCCCACCTTGCTATGTTCATCTCATTATGCTCTATGGTCTATGGTCTCCCACTCGGTCACATGCATCTCATCATGTTCTATGGCCTTCCACCCCACCAAGCTCACCTCACCATGTCTATGACTTCTTCAAAGGCATCCTCCCACCCTGCCATGATCATCTCTTTTAACTGATATGCTATTGGGCTGGATAGATAGATAGATAGATAGATAGATAGATAGATAGATAGATAGACAGACAGACAGACAGATAGAGCTATTTTTTAAATATACCTATTTAGTAACTTTATTTCTCTTTCCTTGATCCTTAAAGACCTCATAATCAAATACCTTTCCAAGACTGAAACTCTGCATAATCCCCTTCCAGTGAGCTGTGCACAGGCCTAGACCTTGAGGATCTCTGGCTGAGCACATCACCTCTCAGCCTCACTCAAGCTGATTACACAAAGGAGACCCTACTACCCAATAGCACACCAGTGGCAAAATCACTCCCCGTAGGGGCCCAACAGGAAGAGACAGTGGAGCAGGAAGGAATGCATATCCTTTTATCACTCTCAGAATGTCCTACAGATGTCAATATTCTACCAAAACTACCCCCAAATGATGGACTATGCGAAAGATTCCTGGTGGGCTAGTGTGCAAGGAGTTGTGTTGCCAACCCAAAAACAGATGGTTTGAATTCACCAGCTGCTCCATGGGAGAAAGATGGAAAATCTCTTCCTTTGGGAGTTATAGCCTCTGAATACCTCTGGAGGGTTAGCTATGAGTCAGTCCAGACACGATGGCAATGAGGGGGTTTTGTCCCTTTTTTTTTTAAAGTATATCAGATAGCCATAAAATTTCTGCTGCCCTTTTTTTTTTTTTTAAACTTTTATATTTCCATTTTATCACCCAAACTCACTTCTCCCAAATCAGCCTTAACTGTTAGGTGACAGATTTAACAAACACTTGCAGAAAGTTTACCTTATGTAGCGCTTTTGGTCATGCAAAGTAGATGGTGTCTCAAGCAATTTATCCAGAAGTAATTCTCTTAAAGCTTCAATCCGTGTCTCTACTTCGGCATAATCTATTTTAAAGGAGGGAAAGAGGCAAAGTTTATAAAATGGGGAAAAAAATCCAGGAAAAGCAGTTGCCTTGGAAGGGTGCAGGCTTGACAGAGATGGGACACCAGGGGTCTTTCTGAAATAATGAAAAGGTGTCTCTATTTTGTCAGGGCATGAGTCATGTGAGTGTGTGCATTGATCAAAACTCCCTGACCTCTAGCTCAATTCTCTTTGCATGTAAATGTTACCAAAATAACAATAACTTTTCTAAGTTCTATAGATTTCAATGATGGATTTAAGAAGCCTCCTATAATATTTTCCATAGTTGATAAGGCTTCAATTGATGGGACTTTCAATTTAAGGTTCTCCTATTTTTCTGTAACTCCAGCATTAGAGACAAATTCAAAATTTGTTTTCATTAACTTAAGGTCAGAATTCTCAAATGTGTCTTTCTGAAGAAGGATGACTGAAACGTAGGTTTCCCTCTCTGGAAAATTTCTGCAATTTATTCTTTCCAAGGAAAGCCAGATTTTTCATTGAGTGGTGGTGAAGAAAAGCAGGGCGGCCGAAGCCCGGCCAAGACTGAGCAGCGCTTTCCCCCAAATCTCAGCAGCAAAGTCATCAAGTTAGTTTTTGAAGTAATTGTTTTACACTTAAAAAAGAATATCATATAAACAAAAACCGAAGCACATGCAACATTTTCTACAGAATAAACTCCACTTTCTTCATATAAAAGAAAAGTAAAAAAAAAATTTAGAAGTAATAAATAAATCTTACATTTTTTGAAAACTTGCACTTCCGTTTTCCCAAAAAGTGACTTGGCCTTTTCATAATCATTAATAACCACATCATAATCGCCCTTTAAAATAAAGAAACATTTTTAGAGTCTGTCGGTAAAGAATAATGCCCTGAAGACGTTTGGTTAAGATAACACAGCTTAACCAATTTTTAAATTTATGACATTTACAACCATAGAAACATAAATATGTACTCTACCTTTTGAATATTCCTTTCAATACTGAGAGGAAGGTTGAAAAGAAACTTAAATCGTTGGAGCACATTCAGTGCATTCCTGGTTGAATCTGCCTTGTCCTTACGACCTAGTACTTCCTGAAACAGTGTGTCTGCCGTATTACTCGCTCCTAGTTTAAAAAGGAATAAAGAGACGTGGATGAAGACTGACTTGAGTCAGAAAATGTATGAATGGGTAGTAGAAAGAAAAATATTAAGATTACTGATTTTACTAAATTAAAACTTAATGATCTTTTTTAAAGTTAAGAATACTGGAGATCTTTTTCTTTTATTGTTTAAAAATAAAATTTCTTTTTGCTTGCTAAGTTTTTGTCACATGTTAAAAATAGTATCCAGGTATACAAACTTTGTAAATAACCAGTATAATTTAAAAAAAAAAAATAGTACCCAGTTAAAAAACAATCATGCTAAATAAATTTTCTAACATGCATATAAATTTCTGAATTTTAAACCAAGTATGGGTATACAGGCTATGTTAAGAATTCAAACAATAACTGAATATATATATATACACACACACACACACACACACACACACACACACACACACACACACACTGCAGCACACCACACTGGTTACATTTCATGGGCTCCATGTCTACCAATGTGGCAATAAATACAAGAAAGAAAATGTTATTAAAAAATATTTTCAAAGAAATTCTGTTTTCTTCTCTCTTTTATGTAGCAGGCACAGAAAATTACGTAAAGCAATTTAAAATGACAGATCTTAACATATATATCATCAGGAGTTTTTAAAACTGGCTTGTAAAAACTTCTCTATGAATTGAATACTTTATAATTTTATCTATAAAACCTTAAATGATATGTCAGTATAATAGAAGACCCGCTTTATTTAAAGCAAAATTTACTGTGTATAAAAATAGTTCAAATTTTTCACCTTGTGAATTATTTTTAATTAGCCACAAAGGCAGGGGAGAAAAAGGATAAACTGTATTTGGCTGTTTGACTGCTGCTTGTAAAAAGTTTCTACATTATCTGGTCTAGTGACTATACTTTAAGCAAAGATGAAAAAATGGCACAGCTCTCGCTGGGTGGCTGCAAGCATACTCTCTAGTCAGCACTGTGGGTGGCCCAGCCCTGTTAAAGCCCTCTTTGTAAAGTAACCGCTTTATCTAAATGATGTTTAAATTCTGCTGAAATTTTAAAGGCCTGATCTCAAAACTTTGTTTTGTCAAGATAGTTGTTTTCACCACATACGACTTAATGTTAGAATACTGATTTTCTATTAAAAGATGAGGAAATAAACCCATAAATTCTCTTCTTGCCACCAGACCACATAATGATGGGTAAATGAATATTTGATATCTGATTAAGGTTAAACTTTTTATTCAAAGAAGCTTTATTTCTATATCACTTTAAAAATATAAACTATGAATTAAGACTTTATAACTGTAGAAGTAGGTGAAAAGGATGGGATGAAAACCACTTTTTACTTAATATAGTTAAGTCCTCAAGTACTTTTTTAATTTCTCCTTTTCTTGGTACAATGAGAGAATTTGGAGTAGAAAGTATAAGGATTCAAAAGTGTATTTGTCTCATTTTAAGACAGTAAAAACAATTTCAACTAATAGTTTCATCTTCTGTAAAAAAAACCCCACACCAAACCCAAAGAAAAATCTACTTATAAATAGAGATGAATATGTCATAAACATATAGAAAATAAAAAGTTATGACATTAAGTTATCCATACAAATACATATTTATGTATGGACAATATATGCCTACTGAAAACGAGAACACTTTACTTTCACATAACAGAATTTCTGTCTAGAAATTACTGTTCTCCTGTGAACTTTACTGCATTCACAATAAACTTGGGAGTTCATAATTGATAATTGGAGGGTTATAGGCACTAATAAAATAATTAGAGCAGTGAAATGCAAGTCTATGCAGGCAGATAAAAATCATCAATAGCTCCCAAAATGTTCTTTCTGTTTGTATGGGCTGGGAGTACGAATATGGAGAGAATACACCTAACAAGGGCACTCTCCAGCGCTAGGGGCCCTTCCAGTGGGACTGCATAAGACACAGACTGCCCCATCGTCCTGTCAAGGTCCTTCCAGGTGGTGACCATACAGGGACTGGCACTTCCCACCCTCCTGTCAGTGTTCCTCCAGGTGGTGACCACACAGAAACTGGCTCCACCCCACCCATTGCTGCTCACACATCTACAGCAGCTGGCAGGGTTTGAAAACATACAACACAATCATGCAACACACTGAACTGGTCACAAAGTCACAGAAGGTAAAAACTTGGCTTTAACAAAACCAACCTCGTTCTTCCTTCCACCAGCCCTGCTTGAGGGAAGCCCTGTGATCTAACCTTTCCCCCTGCTCAAGACTGACTGCATCACCCTGCACTGCACGCAACCCCAAGCCTGGGCCACCCTGAGCGCCCAGCGCTCGAGCACTCGCAGCCACGATGTGATGTGAGGCCACAAGATGACGAGGACCCAGATCACAGTGAGACGTCCCAGTGAAGATGGGAAGAGGAGCCATGCCAGCACTGCACTAACACAGAGAGAACACATGCCCACTGTTTTTATATTCCAAACTGCAAAAAGCAATGGAAAAAAAATCTACATTGCTAGGAAATCTTGTATTCTAGAAAATGTATTTGTGCCATTCTAATGGTGTCTTATCAGTATGTTTAGTTTATGTAAGCATTAAGCTTTCTCTTATTTCCCAGGAACTTTATTGGTCCTTACTAGATAGTAACACTTGAGACAGTGAGGGATCTAAAATCCATACTCTAATTGAGGAGCATGGAAAGGGGGAAAGTCCCCTCTTTCTTAGATCTGTCCTGTATGATGGTATATCAAATATAATGATTCTTACTTCTGGTGGCAGCCCTGGGGCTCACAGCATAATCTAATCATCTACTAATCTTCCAGGAGACTGCTTTTGTTGTTGTTAAGTGCAGTTGAGTCATAGATGACTCATAGCGACCCTATGAACCAAAGACCTGAACACTTGTATAACTTTGGTCGTTTCTCCATGTTCATAGTTTCTGGAGGCAAGCCATTTCAGAAGTGGATGCCACTCCTGCTTCCAAGCTTGTTTTAAATCAGGAAGCTCCACCATGCATAACCATTTTTAGGAGTCCTTATCACATCACTGACTTCCGTTAGCAAATCAACATTCCACCCTACTGCTCACCAATCCCAGCCAACTGCTTCTGTAGAACGAGCTCTTGTAGAAAAGGCAACGATTAAGTTCTTTGTTGGTATTCCTGGGTCAGAATATGTACTTGTTCAGCAAGCATATTCTTATGAATGACATGTTCACATTTCTACTTAAAGAGGTACAATACAGGTCAGGCTCACTCTACAAGGTAATTCTGGGACACAAAAATGGCTGAAAACAGCATGAACCAAACTAAGTCACTGAATAATCAATGAGAAGCATTATGATTATTGGATGATTTGTTTGTAAATTTTGCTGAAGTATTAAAAACTTGCTCACTGTTGAATACAGATAGTAAAGTTACTGAGGAAGACTTAAAGCATTTGCTGCCAAAAGTCAAACTGCAGCCTTCAATATGGATTGCATCTCAACATCACAAAAACAAAGATCCTCACCACTCCTACTTAATATTGTATTGAAAGTACCTGTTAGGGCAATAAGACAAGACAAGAAGAGGCATCCAAATTAACAAAGAGGCTTTAGTAAAACTATTGCTCTATACAGATGAACACAGAAAAATACAAAGACTCAACCAAAAAACTGTTAGACCTAGTAGATCAATTTAGAAGAGTGCCAAGATACAAGATCAAAATAAAAAATTCATTGAGATTTCTCTACAGCAACAAAGAAAACATGGAAAAGGAAACTAAGAAAGCAATACCATTTACGATGGCCAACTACAAGATGAAATACTCAAGAATAAACCTAACGAAAGAGACACTAATGACCTTTAAGGAAAAAAACAAAACAAAAAACTACAAAACACTACTATAAGAAACATGAGACCTAAATAAATGGGAAAATATTCCCTGTTCATGGATAGGTAAACTAAACATAGTGAAAATGACAATCCTACCAAAAGCAATCTACATGTTCACTGCAATCCCAATACAGAAAGCAAACTCATTTTTCAAAGAGACAAGAAAGGCAATTGGCAGGCTTATCTGGAAAGAAAGAGACCCTGAGTAAGCAAAGCTCTTCTGAAAAATAAAAATTAAGTGGGAGGCACAGTACTCCCAGATCTTAAAACCTACTACACAGCCATAGTAAACAAAACATCATGGTGTTGGTACAATTATACACTGACCAATGGAACAGAATCAGGAACCCAGAAATTAACCCATCTACCTATAGTCAATTGGTATTGAAGGACTCAAAACTTATTAAATGGGAAACAACAACCTCTTCAATAAATGGTGCTTGCAAAATTGGGCCTGCAAAAAACTGAAACAAGATCCTCATTTCACATCATACACCAAAACAACTCAAGGTGGATCAGAGACCTAGAAGTAAAGCCCCAAACCACAAGATCAACTAGAAACAAATGTAGAAGCCCTAGCCTATGATATAAAAATGACTTGCAAATATAGCCAGAAATGCACAATCAGGAGAGGACAAAATCGGCAAACAGGACCTTCTAAAAAGTAAGTGCCTGTATGTTTCAAAAGCTTTTTTGAACAGGGTTTAAAAAAAAACCCAAACCTCCTACAGACTGGGAAAAAATATTTGACATTACTACAGGACCCCCACAAGAAAAGACTGATAAACAATCACTAAGTGGGCAAAAGACCGGAAAAGACTTTTCACAAAGTAAGACATTTGGATGGACAACAGATACATGAAGAAGTGTTCAAAATCACTGGTAATCAGAGAGATGCAAAATGTAAAAGAACAGCAATAAAAAAAAAAATTAAAAAAAAAAAAGAACAGCAGGCAAAAAATGCTAGAGAGGATGTGGAGAGATAGAAACTCCAATGTACTACTGCTGGTGGAATTTTAAAATGGTGTAACCATTCTAGAAGGCAGTTTGGCATTTCCTCAAAAAGCTGAACAAAGAAATCCCACATGGCCCATATTTCACTAGTAGGAATATATTCCAAGAAATTAGAATGAATTATCCAAAC